TATAGATAGGAACTCTCGGTCTGGGGCAAGTGATGCTCTGTAGTCTTGGTGCTTCGGGGGGGGGGTCAATAGTGGGAGGGCTTCTGGAGTTCTGGCCCCACTGATGGACCTCCTGATGGCACCTGGGGAACTCCTACTAATAATGACTTAGCCCTATCTCACCTTCCTGAGTAGATATAAATCACCTGCCTACCATTTTCCTTCTCCTCACCTTGACACACAGAGAATACTCCCTCTTTCTCTGTCATACCTCTGAGGATGCCAGTCACAGCTGCTGGCGAAACATCAGGTCCTACAATGCCAAGACCACAGCCACACAACCCGGGAAACTAAAGCTTTTAATCTGCTCCCAAGGGGAAAGCTGACGGAAGCTGGGGAGCTTCTGGTTCAAGACAAGTCAGTCTAAAGGGGTGACTGAGTAAACACTAAGGGCAATATTGAGAGGAGCCTAACAGAATTTGAGAGTGAGGGCAGGATGGTGACCGAGGGCCACGTGTGGAGACTGAGGGGCCGAGGGAGGTGAGGGTTACTGGGGAGAGAAAAACTTTGTATGTGTCTACATGCCCATGCTAGAAGTCTCCAAGCCCAGATGGGGGAGCTGGAGTGCTTGGTGCTCAATGACAATTTAGATATAGGAGGTGTTTCAGAAGCATGGTGGAATGGGGGAGATCTACGGGACACAGTCATCCCTGGGTATAAGGTCTATTGGCCGGACAGGAAGGGACAGGTTGGGGGAGATGTTGCATAGAATCAAGTAAGTTAGAAAACATCAGGGGAATTAACTCCCCAGCAGGAGCGATATAGGTAGAAATACTGGGTTCTAAGAGTTACCTGAGCATAGGGGTGCACTATCGCCCACCTGATCAAACCCTTGAGGCTGTTCATGAGATGGAGAAGGAAAGGTGACTAAAGCAGACAATGTTGTTATACTGGGAGACTACAACTACCCTCACATTGACTGCGTAAACATGTGGAGGCGTTATGCTGTAGAAATAAGATTCCAAGACATCGTAGATGACCGCGCACTGGAACAGTTGGTCACAGAGCCATCTGGAGGACTAGTGATCTTGGTTCTGAGCCGGTCTCAACACCTGGTGAGAGATGTAGAGGCTGTTTCATCAGTTGGGAACACTGACCCACCATGCTATCAAGTTCAGCATTCAGGTCAATGGAAAGTTTCCCCCCCCCCCCAAGTCCAAAACTGTAACATTTGCTTTCCAAAGAGGGAACTTTACAAAAATGAGGAGAATAGGAAGCTGAAGGGGAAACACAAGAGAGTCATATCCCTAGAGGATGCTTTGTACAGCACAGTCCGTTTTTCTTCAAATGTGCATTCAGTAACTCTCAGGTTAAGTTCAATATGTGCACCACACAAGACGTGATGGAAACCCCACATTTAGCCACATTCTAGAATAGGGTTGCCAGGTCTGGGCTGGAAAATACCTGGAGACTTTGGGGGGTGGATCCGGGAGAGGGTGGGGTCTGGGGAAGGGAGGGGCCTCAGCAGGGCACAGTGCCGCAGAGTCCACACTTCAAAGCAGCCATTTCCTCCAGGGGAGCTGATCTCTGTCAGCTGGAGATGAGCTGTAAAAGCCGGAGATCTCCAGGCCCCACCTGGAGGCTGGCAACCTGTTGGCGTTTCAAGTTGCTTACACTTCAGTCATTACAAATGTTTTTTGTTGGCAAACAGGACGTACATAACGAATCTACGTCGGGAAAGTTTGTGGGAGTTGTTTACCCTAATGAAGTGACCTGTAACCTTTGTATTGGTCACCTAACAACTTGTTTGTGGAAATGCTTTATTTTTTTTTAACTCTCTTTTTATTCATTTTTCAAAACAATTCATTACAATAACAAACAACATTCTTATTGGCATTTATGAGACCTACATACCACACAAACCACACTAACGTTTATCACTGCTTTGATCTAGCATTCATGTATTCACAAGGTTTATGGCTCTTTGTGTGAATCAGACAGGAAGTGCTCCTCTAAAAGCCAACACAGATAGAAAGATGTAGCTGTTAGCATTTAGTACTGAAAGTAACTGCAAGTATGTAACCTTTTCATTTTATTTCTTTTATCCAAAGTACCTTACCCGTGTTTTATTTTGTTTTGTAGTAAAGATATTTTTCTTTTACTAATGTGGCTCTTTGCAAAACGACCATCGATCTTGAATCTCAGAATCCCAACACAACCCTATTCTGGACCGCAGTTTCACTGGTCAAGTGTGCTTGCACGTCGACTCCGGCTTACAAAGAGATTCACACACACACCACGTATATGCAGGTTGCACGTGAGTTCACCATGAACACCCCAACCAATATGATGCACAGGCAGCCTTAAGATACAATCAAATTCTGCAATTTGGGGTGTCGTGGGGAAATGGGCGGCTAAACACTGCCCCCTTCCACCCCTCCATCGGCCTTCTCCGCCACTCAGGACTGCTCTGAGGCAGAAAGAGGAGGTCCAGTTCCAGACTGTGCTCCTTCAGACAGCAGCAGCTGGGTCTCAGATTTTAAATGCTCTCCGATAGATAAATAAAAAACTTCTTTGGTTGTAGAAAGTCAGGAAGAAAGACTTTGCCCTGCACTCTCTTTACAGGTGGGGCGGGGGTGGGGCGTGAAGGACCACCATCCCCGAACGTGCAGCCAGGTGTTCCAATCCAGAATTCTGCCTCCTCTTCCTCCTCCTCGGGACATCTGTGCAAACTGGCTCTCAGCCTCATTTCCGTGCTGGGAGAGCAAACGGCACTGCACTTGTATCCTTTGGATAAGCCTGTGAATCGCGTTCCCTGAGAACATCCTCAGTTTGCATGCTCAGGATCCCTGGATATCCAACGACGCAAGCACCCAAATTGCATACACACCCCGAGCCCAACCCCGGGAGGGCCACACGACACCCCCACTAGAAGTCGGCAACTAGGTGGCCGCAAGTGATGCAAGTGACGCACGAGCACCCTTCCCGAAATGAATGGCCCTGCTTTAAGAAGCCAGACAGAAGACAACAACACCGACACATTCCCCCCACCCCCAATCTGTCTCTTTGAGCCATCGACAGAGGCCCATTCCAAAGCACCCCTGAAGGTCTAAGCTCTCCTCCAGCCCTTTACCTGGGCATAAGCCACAATCAAAATGCAACACATTCCACGTTTCATGTGACAGATGCCCTCGAAATGCTGGCCTCAAGACGGCACACCCTCTGCAGTATCTGCCCTGGGGCGCGACATGCCAGGATTCGCTTTCACTCGAAGAGTAATTACCCTGTGGAACTCATTGCTTCAGGATGCAGCAAGGATCACAAATTTAATGGACATTAAAAGAAGATTAGACAAATTCATGGAGAGCAGGTCTGTCAATGGCTAAATGGAACCTCCATGTTCAGAGGCAGTAACACTTTGAACCCAAGTGTTGACATTGGGGGGACAAAAAAGGGGTTTTTTTTGTAACTTGCTGGTAAGCCTTGTGGGTCTTCTGGCTGGTCAGTGTGGGACACAGGAGGCTGGATTAGATGGACTACTGGACAGATCCAGAACTACGGCTGTCATGGGCTCTAGGATTCAGAGGCTTAGTGCCTCCGAATGTGGAGATTCCTTTTACTCACCATGGCTAGTAGCCACAGATAGACGTCCTCCATGACGCCATCTAATCCCCTTTTAAAGTTGTTTATTCCTGTAGCCATCGCTATATCAATTCCACATTTTAATCACTCTCAGTGTAAAGTAGTATTTCCTTTTGTCTGTCCTGAACCTACTGCCCATCGGCTTCATTGGATGCCCTCGAATTCTAGTATTTTGGGAAAGGGGGAAAAAGTTATCTTTGTCCAGTCTCTCCACTTCATGCATCATTTTATAACGAAGAAGAAGAGATTGGATTTATACCCCGCCCTTCACTACCCAAGGGAGTCTCAGAGCGGCTTACAAACTCCTTTTTCCTTCCCCTCCCCACAACAGACACCCTGTGAGGCGGGTGGGACTGAGAGAGCGCTGACAGAAACTGCTCTTTTTCAAGGACAGCTCTTATCAGAACTATTGCTTGCCCAAGGTCGCCCAGCAGGTGCAAGTGGAGGAGTGGGGAATCAAACCTGGTTTTCCCAGATTAGAGTCCGCACACTTAACCACTACACCCAACTGGCTCTATCATGTCCCCCAAACTGGGCTGGAGTAACCCTATAAGAGCCAGGAGACTGGGATGAAAGCACTTGGCTACGCTCACTGGAAATGCACCTGCTTATGCCCGGCATTAGAGGTATCCTGCTGGATCAGACCACTGGTCCATCTCGCCCAGAATTCTGTCTCACACAGTCGCCAGCCAGTGATCATGTAGGGCCAGAGAGTCCCAAAAAGAAAAGAGCTGGCCCTGAAGGGTATTTATCGGTTATCTTCTTCCTGCATATAGTTTTGCTTCTGCCATTAAGTAAAAAACCTACACAGAGGCTGTCAGACATGCATGTGCCAATTCCAACATCTTGTCTGAAGCAGGGCAAAAATTAAGTCTCAGCCATCGTCGGACTTGCTCGTAGGCAATTGGCAAACTGATCCTGGCTTCGCTCTACTCTGGCTGCTGTCAGAACAGTTTGTAGATTCCTATGTATGAAAACATGTCTATCCTGCCTTTGGCAGGAGTCAGGGTGGCTTGCGATATGCAATTAAAACATCAAACAACAACAAAACCACAAAACCACCACCTAATCAAGTCTAATAAAATGCCTGCGGCCCATATTCCAGTCAAAGTTCCAGGGAATAAAACAGCCTTAAGGTGTACTCCTGAAAGTTTCCAAGGATGGTGCCCCCCCCACCTCTTTGGGGAGGCAATTCCACACATGAGGAATATCCACAGAGAAAGCACGCCCCCACATCGACGCCGTGTGGGCCGCCTTTAGTGCGTGGAAGCACTCAGAACATTATACTCAGGAAATCACACGGATCGTCACCTTTGCCTAGAAACACTCGGCCAACGGACGTGATGGATCAAGACCCGAAAGACAAGCCGTGCACTTACTGAGCTGTAGAGGTAGCCCTCAGCATTCATGGCCACGTAGAGGCCCGCCTTCACGCCCTGGATGGCCACCACACGCAGGCCCACCGGGATGAGGTTGAAGAGGGCTGGGGGAGAGAAGAGGGGGGAAATTAAGCAAGAAGGGGAAAGACGTCACTCAGCTCCCTCCCCTCCAGGGAGGCAAGGCCACACACCAATGTCCCCTCTAAGCTGTGGAGTCTTGCGAGCAAAAATCCTACTTTGTGAACTCCTGGGCATTAAAGCTGTGAGCGAGAGATTTGGCTGCTGCGTAAATGAGTTTGCTCTGGAGCCCCCTCCTTCCTGAGCAAAGGCGAAAATGTGTGAGCCGGAGGAGGATAAAAAAGCTGTGAGCTGGCTCACACCGACTCAGCTTAGAGGGAACACTGGCACACACCAACACTCCCCCAAGTTTCCTCTGTGGAAGCCAGAGCCCAAGTTACACCAAACAAGGGGCGGAGTGACCCTCCGAGGCGGGCGGCTGATCTCTTGGCCCCACAGCATGGAACAGGCCTCTTGGCCATGCTGTGCCCTCCGTGCAAGAGGAGCCGGCATTTGCTAAGCCTCCCAAGGGCCTGCCAATCATCCCGGAGCCTTCAAGAGGTCCAGTCCCTGTGCTGGGGGCCAAGGTGGGGCTGGGCGGCAGGTTTTCTTTCTCTTCCATCGAGTTGCTGACTTACAGCGACCCCGTAGGATTCTCAAGCCGTGAGACAAACGGAGGTGGTTTGAGAAAAACAGAGTGAGTATTGGAGCACCGATATCTTATTTTTACTAATTTTAATTAACTGTAGTATTTTGTATTACTGTATTTATATTGTTCTTATTGTTATAATCTGGCATTTGCCCTTGTTAGCCGCCCTGAGCCTTCGGGGAGGGCGGGATACAAATCCAAAGAATCTCTCCCTTATAATAAAAGAGTTTTGGGTGCCAAAGTTCTAAAATGCACTTCTTTAGTGTTAGGCCGAAAAAACTGCCACTCGGAAGACACTGGCTGGGTTCATTGGCTGCTTTGTGCAGTCCCGGCCAGCATTCCAAGGTCATTTACATATGGAAGCTGATTGGACTACACTCTATTCCACACCTGAAACTCACCCCCCCCCCGCAAGGCAGTTGGAATTTTCAGTTGGGAGAGGAGAATGATGTCAGCTGCTCCCTAGGCAGAGGCTGTGTGTGTGTGTGTGGGGGGGGGTTGTAAAGACAGACAGGCAGATAAACGTTGGCTGATGGTTGCCAACTCCAGGTTCGAACTCCAGGACATAGGGTTGCCAACTCCAGGTTGGAAACTTCCAGGATATTTTAGGGATGAAGCCTGCTGAGGGTGGGATTTGAGGAGGAGGAAGAGGGGGACCTCAGACAGATACAATGCCATGCTGCCCACACTCCAGACAAGCTGTTGCCAGTCTCCAGGTGACAGCTGGAGAGATCTTAAAGCTTTGGTGCTACTTCAAAGTTCCCCAGGAGCCCAAAACAGAGAAGTGTTTTGGAAAATCTTGAGGAATTGTTTGGTGCATTTACGATGGGGCTCCTGGGGAACTATTGTTGCCAATCTTGGCCCAGCAGCCATCAAACCATTCTCTTCAACCCCCTGCTGTGCAGCTGACTTCCCCCTAGGGTTGCCAATCTCCAGGTGGGACCTGGAGATCTCCCACTGCTACAATTGATCTCCAGATGACAGAGATCAGTTCCCCTAGAGAAAATGACTGCTTTAGGAGGGTAGACCCTATGACATTATACCTGCTGAGTCCTTCCGCCGCCCCCCGCCCAATGCTGCCCTCTACAGAATCCACCCCCCAAACCTCCAGGTATTTCCCTCCGTAGAGCTGGCAACCCTACATTCCCCTCAGTGCCTGTTGGGAGTGGGTGGTGGGGGAGGGGAAGGGAGCAGGCGACCGGTCCTGGAGTGGGGGGGTGGAAACGGACCCGGCAGCCGGAGGCTTGCACCTCCAGTCGCCGGCCCTGGAGTGAGTGGGGTTGGGTAGGGGGAAACGGCTCCTGCGGCCGGATGTCGGCCCTGGAGTGGGTGGGGGTGGGAGGGAAAACGGGCCCTGCGGC